CGTATATATTATATATATATATATATAAGCTACATTCGATATAATATTACCTAATACACTTATACTTAGTGCATAGTACAGCGTAAGTATATATGTTATATATATATATATATATATATATATATATATATAAACACACACGCACGCTTCGTAGTACTATTCATCCCTTGTATTACAAAAGTGTTAACGACTAACATTTATATTCTTTATTTACTAAATACAAAAGTGATTTTTAATTTTGACCTTTGTTGACCTAAATAGCGACCAACTTTGGTCGCTAAACATACATAATTTTAAATTAGCGACCTAAGTTGGACGCTAAACTTAAATCAGATTTATTTATCTTTTTTATTATATTTAAAATATTAACCGGGTCCCAGATTAGCGACCAAAGTTGGTCTATACTCTACTGAGCGACCAACATTGGTCGCTAAAGTTGAATTATATTTATTTATATTTTATAATTTTTTTAAAACAAAATATAATTATTAATATTTTATAACTAGGTCCCAAATTAGCGACCAAAGTTGGTCTCAACCTGTTTTCTCTTTATATAGCGACCAACCTTGGTCGTTAATTTTAAATTTTATTTATTTATATTTTGTTATTTTTTAAAAATAATGTTATAATTATTAAAATTTAATAAGTGGGTCCCATGAAGCGACCAACATTGGTCGCTAATCTGAGTAATTCTTTGACCAAGCAAGTCTGACCAGTCGGATCAACAGTTTGACAAAATTTTCGACCAAGTTGCGACCAACGTTGGTCGCTAATTTATTTAAAATCATTATTTTATTATTTTCACCAGTTTAGCGACCAACTTTGGTCGCTTTTCTTGCAAACCAACTTTGGTCGCTAAATTTTGGTCGCTTTATGCAGGAATTCTAGTAGTGTATGCATCTTGAAGTCTTTCATGACCCCAATTTTTCTCCGTAGGATGTCGTGATGGCACCTAGTCTCTAAGACTAGGTAAGCCTAACAAACATTCGGAATGTAACTAAAATAACAAATAAACTCCCAAATTAAACACTCAGCGATTATAATAAAGAAAACTTCCTAACTCAACATATACGGTTTCCCCAAAACCTAATGATATCCAGTCACAAGATTTACAACGGTATCATAGTCATCCCTATACAACTGTAACTAGCAAAATAAGGAAAATATAAAAATAGATAGAGGGTGACTCCGAGGCCAGCGGATGCTGGCAGGTGTACCTTGAAGTCTCCACGTACGAACTCAACTCACTGATGTCTGGACTGGTAAGATGTACATGGATCTGCACAAAAAGATATGCAAAAGCATAGCATGAGTACATCACAACACTACCCTATAAGTGCCAAGCCTAACCTCGGTAGAGTAGTGACGAGGTCAGGTCAAGTCCCTACTGGAATAAATAAGAAAAGAAATTGTACATGTGTATGGAAGTGTAATAAAGAAAGCAATGAAATTGAAGCAACAAATAGCATATCAAGGTTAGCTACACAGAACTAAAGCAAATAATGCAACACGGAGAAAATAAGGAATGATATGCTAAGGAAACAAACAACCAATGAAAAGTTAGTAATAGGGAAATACCAACAAGAGTCACTATCGAGGTACCGCCTCGTAGTTTCAAATCACAAGAATAATTTACAATCTTTCCTTATACCACCGTGGGAGCCTTGCATTTAGTTTTGAAAATCATTTCCTGGAATAGCATCCCGCGTTTTAGCCCACCTTATCACACCGCTTGACTTCTAGTATTTTCCCTACTAGCCACGCGTATCAAGCCCACATTATCTCACTGCATGCGTTTTAAACCCAAAACCTTATACCACCGCGTTCGTATCAATATCACAACGCATCACAAATCGCACCTCAAGTGCCCAATATCACAACTTGCTAAGAAACCAACAACAACGATGTTTTCACAATAAATAGCCCATGGCTCAACCACAACGTACACAAGAATCTCAACAATAACAACGGGTAGAGAATACTTCAATAAGAATAGTATTTCACAACTTAATACTTTGCCTCAATGTGAATCACGCCCTTTATAACTCAATACCAATTCCAACAACAAGATATTCCAAGAATAGCAATTTCAAGCAAAGAGTTCAACGGTTAAATCATGGATATGAAATAAAGGAAACAACTACTTCAACTAGACATGTAGAGAAATTTGCAAGTAAAAGGCAAAACAAGTAGAACATGTGAAAAAAGATTGATGATGATGAATATAACATGTTAAGATGACTCAATTAAGGCATGAAAGGAATCTACATGGCTAAAACTGGTAAATTTCCACATTTATCCCGTGTACACACTCGTCACCTTGCGTACACGGCTTCCACATATCACAATTATAGCAAAACAACACCAATCTTAAGGGGTAATTCCGCTCACAAAAAGTTAGGCAAGACTTACCTCAAAACACGCTAACTCAATCCACTAGTATGTCTTTCCCTCAATTAACCAACTCTGAACGGCTCGAATCTAGCCAAAACTACTTTATACCATAAATATAAACTATGGGAAGCTAATTCGAATAATAAAGTTACGATCTTTGCAAAGAATTAAAAGTCAACCTAGGCCGCGTCTCGGAACCCGCCCAAAATTATAAAATCCGAAGACCCATTCGATAAGGAGTTCAACCATCCAAGAATTACTCAAATCACTTTTCAAACCCCCAAATTTTAGCCTAAGAAGTTTCATAAATTTTTCTCAAATTTTCATCTCCAAAACACTAATTAAATAATGAAAACAACAATAGATTCATGTAATTTAACCAAAATCGAGTTAGGATTTCTTACCCCAATATTTTCCTTGAAGTTGATCACTCTGTGTTTTATAGGCATTCTGCTTCAAGTCTCTGTATTTATCTAGTGGTCTATGTTGACGATATTGTTATTACTGACAATAATCATGATGATATTACTAAATTGAAGCAACATCTCTTTCAACACCTTCAAACTAAGGATCTGGGCAGATTAAAGTACTTTTTTGGGTATTGACGTCGCTCACTCTAGCTCATGTATTGTGATGTCACAGCGGAAGTATGCCTTAGACATTCTTGAGAAGACAGGAATGACAGGTTGTAGACCGATTGACACTCCGATGGATCCGATTTCTAAACTTCTGCCAGGGCAGAGGGAGCAGCTTAGCGATCCTGCAAGATATAGGCGGCTGGTTGGTAAATTAAATTATCTCACAGTGACTAGACCTGACATTTCCTTTCCTGTGAGCGTTGTAAGTCAGTTTATGGATTCTCCCTGTGATAGTCATTGGGATGCAGTTGTCCGTATTCTTCGGTGCAGGATCACCTTCTGATAGACGTTCTACGTCTGGTTATTGTGTTTTCGTAGGAGGCAATTTGGTGTCTTGGAAGAGCAAGAAACAGAATGTAGTTGCTCGGTCTAGTGCAGAAGCAGAATATCGAGCAATAGCTATGGCAACATGTGAGCTAATTTGGATCAAACAATTGCTCAAGGAGTTCAAATGTGGTGAAATCAGCCAAATGGAACGTGTGTGCGATAATCAAGCTGCCCTTCATATTGCATCAAATTCGGTGTTCCATGAGAGAACTAAACACATTGAGGTTGATTGTCACTTCATCAGAGAAAATATACTCTCAGGAGATATTGCTACCAAATTTGTGAAGTCGAATGATCAGTTTGCTTATATTTTCACCAAGTTTTAATTATATATGTAACAAGCTCAGTACATATGATTTATGTGCACCGGTTTGAAAGGGAGTGTTAGTTTGGTAGTTAAATAGTTACATGTATGTTTAACCAAAAATTAGATTTTAGGTCAAAGCTTGAATTTAGAAGAACTCGGGTTACTGATAATCGGAAAAGTATATAAGAAAGAGATTTTGAATAATATAATCAGAAAGCAAAAAGAACAAAGTTTATTCCAGTACTGTTTTTTTCCGTCCCCTACAGATGTTGTGACTTTCTCCTTTTATAGTTAATTCTAAGAGAAAGTGTAATGCCTTTATCTTAATGAGGCATACGAGCAATAAATGACATTAAAAGAAACGTTACTCAATCATTCCTATTAAATACAATTTTTTTTAACGTATTTGGCATTTAATGCTGAATTTGGACTCTTTTTCGCTATCAGATTCATGTCTTCAATTCCTTCTGATCTTCGAGCTTTAAATGACTCGAACAGGTACGAGTCTCGTTTCATTTGAATAATAGCTCGTGCCTTTAAGTATCTTCTCTCCTGCATCTGTTGTTGCTCGTGCCTTCTAACTGATTACCACGCTTTGACTATTTGACCGGTCCACGTGTCATGACACGTCATCTTCAATATTTAAATTCAGTTTTTTCCCAATACAATGTAAATAACCCTAATTCTATATGTAGTAGGAGTAGAACATGTATTATATATATATGACTCATTATATCATTGTCAATACATCAATAATATAATTTTCTCGTGTCATATTTCTCACAGATGCACTACACAGTATTCCTGATTAATGAATTTAAAGGGTTATGCTGCAGAGTAATACTCAAATGTTGAAGTCTATGGTGTTTCTCCAATTTGTATCCAGTATCCACAGCTGAAACAATGAAGTTCTTGCAGGTTTCCTTTTGCAATCTCATCAAGAGAGCAAGAGATAATGTTAATAACCTCTGGGTAGCTGAAGCAACAGAAAATTCGACCTATTATTTTAAATTTTGATCATTCACATTGTTCTCATCCGAAAGAAGCCAGCGCTTCTGCTGAAAGATGGGCAAAGATATCTGGTTCGGTATGTGTCCTGGCGTTTGGTCATGATATTATATAATAGCTGCATTTTTCAAACTTGTATTCTTTCATTATGCAGAGACTTGAAAAGCTTAGGGGGAAAGTTCCATCTATAATTAGCTGCCGCTGAACTTGAAGTTTGGTAAATCAGTTTTCTTTCTTCTTTTTCCTTTAGACTGGAGTGTAGGCTGAATTTAATATCATAGTAGGACTTTATGGTGCGCGTATTACTGCAGGCTTGTATCCTAGCTAATGAAGAGGATTGAAATGTACTCCTTTTAAGGGCTGCAACTTGATGCCATATATAGTGAGACCTATTTATATATATGTCTAGTCCTCTGCAAACCTTATGCACTGCGGAGATATCAGTCGATAAGTCAACAGATAATTTAAGGACAATTCAATTACAAGACACTAGCGCGACTTTGAACAGTGCATTTTATTTGATTATTCAGTTTTATTAATTAGTCGCCCTAATATGCTACTCTTGTCAATGGATGTCCCTATTATTGTTAGAACATGCGCAGCGGAAGCAAGCATACAATCCAGACATCAAATATATGTAAACTAGGCAATGCTATAATCACAAGATTAGAAGCACTAACCTCTTGAAATTGTTGCACAGATCTTCTACACAGCAAGAATCCAGGGCTGCAGTCTTCTGCTATATGTTAGAAAAATAATTTTAATAACTCAAAAAGAAATATTCAAGTTGATGTTTAGATTCATTCTTTTAATATTATGTTAATAGGTATTTATTATACAATCAATTTGAATATATTTTAATGTGTGTAATGGTACATTATAATAACTTTAAATAAATAATATTTTATTAATATTGAATGGCTATCAAAATAACTTATCTTTTTATAACTTTGAATTTGACCAAAGTTGGTCTTGGACGACCGTTTTATTAACGTTAATTTTGATAATGTTTCCTTAACTTTGATAGCTAATGCTTCTTTGGTCTTAAATGATTTTAAATTTGATAGCCTTAAATGATTTTAAAGTTGATAGCCTTAAATGAATTTGAAGTTTTGGCATTTGACTCCTTAATGGAGTTTAGCGTTTTTCATTACCTATGAGATGTCCATCTCCCTTTTGGACTACATATAAATATTATCTATATATAAGTATATGTTGGTGTTCGTTTTGGTGAAGTGAAAAAGTAAAAACTTTTCTTCCCCTTCTTTTATGCTGGGTTTAATTTTGTTAATCTTTGTTGTTTCTGCTCCTAGTTATACTAGAAGAGCTTGTTGAATCCTGTGGGATACGCCTAACTTTATTCATCCCGGTGTAGGCGAAATATTCTTAAGGACAGTGTCCTTAAGATGCCTCAAGCTAAATCCTTTATTCTCCATATTCATTAAATTTTTCCAACACTATATGCCTAGTAAAACCTTGGACGATTTTGCTTTTGGGTGGGCAAGAACAATACAACTCTAAAAAGTGAGCTATTGGGTGAAATTAGTCTTCCTTTAATAGAGTTATTTTTGGCCGAAATTATGCTCCAAAAAAGTGTAGGATTCTGCTTTTCTCTCAAGTCACTTTTTACCCAAGTCTTGTCCAGGTTTTTACTAGATATAGCAGGGACCATAGAAATAATAAGAGGCTACCAATTATAACATTAATTCGAAATTAGCATGAATTAATTCTTATTACAATTAATTATAATTTATTCCACTAAAAACTGCAATTGAACTCCTCAATATGAATTTCGAAAATTCAATAACACTTATTTTAACTCCCCATGTTAAGATCTCAAATACCAATTAATTAAATTAAATCACTGAAAATAATTTAATCAACTAATTAAATCCTTTACAATTTCGCTTAAACTATTTCATGTGACGGATACAAAATCCACCGGCCGGGTTTTCACATGAAAACTTATAAGCTTACATAAAGGGGTATCATGAAACTCAAAACCGACTCATGAATTCTATCAACTAATTATTATTCACAAATATTATTCGTTATTGTCCAATCTATCAGGCATACACTAACTCTGAATAGAGTCGTACCTTTTGATAAATCAAAACAACAAACAAATTATATTGATCATAATAATTATATCAAGATTAGGAGTATAAGCTCATTTAATGAATTAGAGAAAATATTTTATATATTCAGTACAAAAATATCTTTTCTCTACTTGGTCCGTTCGATATACACTGAGTATGCTACCACAAGAAGTCGGAGTAAAACTACTCCCATAATCAAGACAAATTATACTGTAATCTTGTGCTACAATCATCAAGATATATTGTCCAATAATATCTTTGATTGTGAACATAGTTTTTAATTATGAGAACCAACAATTTAATCTTCTGTGCATGAGTTAAGACTCCATACACTAAATTGTCTACTACATAACTGAAATGACACACATTTAACAAATGATCTATTTAAAATAGTACTTTATTGAATTGAATAAATTAAATAAACAATTATTCCATAAAGAATAAAACAAAATACTATGTCTAAACCGCATGGTTAATAGTATATCCCAACAATCTCCCACATAGACTCATAACCATGCGTCTACTACTCTAACACCCATTCCTTCTACATGCTTGTCAAAAATCTTCTGTGTCAAGCTCTTTGTAAACGGGTCTGCCAAATTGTCCTCTGACGCAATCTTCAACACTCTTGCATCACCTCTCTGAGTTATGTCCCGAATTAAGTGATATTTACGCTCAATATATTTACTCCTTTTATGGCTTCTTGGTTACTTCGAGTTTGCAACTGCACCACTATTGTCACAATAAAGTACAATCGGTGCTTGAACCGAAGGAACTACATTAAGCTCTTTCAGAAAGTTCTTGAGCCAAACAGCCTCTTTAGCTGCCTCAGATGCAACCACATATTCGGCTTCTATGGTGGAATCGGCAACACATGATTGCTTGATGCTCCTCCAACTTATGGCTCCACCTCCTAAGGTAAAAACATATCCTGAGGTAGATTTTCTAGAGTCTCTATCTGACTGTAAATCTGAATCAGTATAGCCAATGGGTGCAAGATCACCTGAGTGATACACCAACATACAATCCCTAGTCCTTTTTAAGTACTTGATTATATGCTTAACGGCAGTCCACTGTTCTCGTCCATGGTTAGACTGAAATCTACTAACCATGCCAACAACAAAGGAGATATCAGGTCTAGTACATAGCATAGCATACATGAGACTCCCTACAACAGAAGCATAAGGGACCGCCTTCATCTTTTCTATCTCACCATTCCTTTTTGGGGACCGATCTTTCGACAGAGAGATTCCATGTCTAAAAGGGAGAAAGCCTTTCTTGGAATCTTGCATGCTAAGCCTGGTGAGAATAGTATCAATATAAAGTGCTTGGGACAAGACTAATATCCTTTGCTTGCGATCTCGCATAAGCTTGATCCCAAGGATATGTGCTGCCTGTCCCCAAGTCTTTCATATCGAAACGTGAGGACAACCATTCCTTTACTGAATTCAACATGATCACATTATTCCCTATGAGCAAAATATCATCTACGTACAAAACCAAAAATATGACTTTATCTCCATTCCACTTCTTATAGACACAAGACTCATTTCACACTGATTAAAACCGAAGGTTTTAATCGATGCGTCAAAACAAGTGTTCCATGCTCTAGAAGCTTGTTTCAATCCATAAATGGATTTCTTTAATTTACACAACATGTGCTCATTGCCACTTGTATACGGTAAAAATCAGAGGGCTCGATTTTATGATCACTAGGGCGCCTCAGAAAAGACCACCCCGGGGAGGGGGGGGGGAGGGGGGAAGGGGGGCTCGAAGTCCAGCTCGGAGCTCGCCCCCGAGGGTTCGTGATGATCGACCTCGAGGCAGTGCAAACCAACGGCTACGACGCACTAGCGGGAAGTTCTCAAGGCATATGATTAAAGCTGACAAAACCTAAAAAGAAACACTAGTCTGTACTAGACTAGTAAGTAGCTGTGCCAGCTACTTTTCTTTGTAATAATTACTCATGTGCTATGATGGGGTTTTCCTCCATATATAAAGGGGATCCTTGTCATTTTGTAAGAGGCATCTGATACGCAATATTGAATGTACAAGATACTTCATTCAATAGAAGAACATTCTTTCTGCTCTCTAACTCGAACATACTCTCTATTTGGCTCTATTGCTTACATTTATTGCTTTATTTACATTCATTATATCTCATTAATTGTTCTTCATTTATTTCTTGTTATTGGTCATAAAGAGCCGCCAATCACAGCCCTAATAGCTGTTAATCCTTCATCAGCTACCCTTAACCGGGTATCTGATTCGACCTCGGGGCCCCGTATAGGCAAGCTCGAGGCCTCGATTCCTAGCCATTTTGGTTCGTTTATTAAGCTATCTACAAGCTATCATCTTAATTTCTAATCCTTCACTTAGCATCCATTGCCTAACAACTAGCATAAAAATAGATCACATATTTTTAGAACCACAAAATCAAATTTAATTGTTATTACCATTTTCAAGGTAAATAGTTTGGCGCCCACCGTGGGGCTAAAAATAATAGTGGTTATTTTCTTGTTGGTTCACTACATAATGCAAGTTATCGTTCACACTTTTTCTTCTCCAAGATCTTTGATTTCAGGTCAAAATGTCTAACTCAGTAAACGCACACGGAAACAACTGTCTTGCGGACCATGGAGAAAATGGTGTAGCTATTCCGGGTGTTGGTATGCCACCACAAAACCCTGAGGTCACACCAGAACCGATTCCCGTCGATATGGTCTCATGCAACACTTAATGCGTTGGCGTAAGTTCCCGCACCAATAGGAGTGTACGCCGAGAAAATCAACAAGACACTCGGGAGAACCCTACCTGGGAAGAAAGAAAGGCAAACACGGAAAATGAAGCGGAAGAACCTCAACACGTCATCCATATGATTATAGGAGGGACCGACGTTCCCCAGGGACCCGTGATCAAGCGGATAAAGGTTTTCGCTGCAACACAAGGGCAAACTCGGGGTCGCGTACTTGAGGACATCCTCGCGTTGAATGAGGAGGACTTCGAGACTTTGTCTCATCCACACAACGATGCGTTGGTAATCTCGTTTCTCTTAAATAACATTCAAATCAAATGTGTACTCGTGGATCCAGGTAGCTCGGCCAATATAATCAGATCGACGGTGGTAGAATAGCTCGGATTACTCGACCAGATCATACCTGCCTCCCGAATCGTTAACGGCTTCAATATGGCCGGCGAAGCAACAAAAAGAGAGATCACCCTCCTGGTCATCATATCCGATGCAGTCCAGGATACAAGATTCCACGTCATTAAGGGAGATGCGAGGTACAATGCCTTGCTC